ATCCCAGATATGGGAGGCCTGGTGCCTGGGGTGTTTAACAAGTTCCCCATGGAGATTCCTGTGCAGGGAGCTGTGGCACCTGCAGGACCCAGAGCACCCTCCCCAGCGTCCACACCCAACCCCTCACAGAGGGGAAAATTATGGGAGTGGCCTCCACAGTGTGAGAGGTACTCCAGGGATCTGCATGTTAAACTAAGGATACTGGGCTGCGGGGTCTTCAGAAAAGCCTGGGGGCATCGGGCTTTGTTCTTGAGGTTGCCAGCCTCAGTCTTGGCTCTGCTCCACATCTAACCCCGTGCCCAAACCTCCCTGCTTGGCCTCCTGCCAACTTGCTTCAATGATGTGTATTTTTCACACTCCTTTAGGGAGAGGCCAGTTCTTTTCTCCCCAAACGCAGTGAAGGGACGATGTGAGAGGATCTTACCTGGCCAGATTGCTAGTGGACGTGGCCACGAGGGTCATAATCAAAGAGGCACAGGAACCCTCTCTCTGCCTTCAGGATGAGAGACTGGGTAGTCCCTGTCCGTGCCCCCCTGGGCCCCAAGGCAGCCCAGCCGTCAGCACAGGAGTGGCGCCAGGCACTGTCTGGGCTCTCTTGGGCTGGGGGTGAAGGGCAAGTGGAAGCTTACCCTGATCCGTCTCCTGGTGCCCAGACATTCCCATCTATCTGCAAGTACAAGAATGCAAGTTGCATCTGGGCCAGAGAGGGATGGAATCCCCAAATTTAAACACCCTGATCAAGAAAATCTCAATACTACGCAACCAATAACAAACTGCATATATAAATTGGCTGCTGAGGCACATACAAGATAATTGTCATCTAAGCCCCTAATTTTAATTTTTGGTATTCATCAAAACAGACTTGTTTTTCATTGAATTTGCATAAATATGATAAATTTGAACTATAAATAAATAAATAAAAATAAAACCCCCAAAACAACAGCAAAAAAACCCAGCAGCCTCATGGGACAGAGATGTGGGCCTTTTCATCACTTCCCAGGAAGACTTGCCAAACTCTCTCCAGGGCCTCAGCTGGGGGCTGGTGGGCGAAGGCTGAAGGGCCTCCCTTGCCTTGGAGACCAGGGTGGGGTCCTGAAGGAGGGAGCTGTAGGGAGAAGCTCACAGGCTCATGGAGCTAACAGGGGTGTCAAGCTGTGAAGACAAACTACCCATAAGGGAGACACCCATAACGGGGCCCCAGTTGACTGGGGAAAACTCACTTTCCTTGGCAGCTGCCGGAGAGCAGGTTCTGCTTGGGACACGGCCAGTCCTGGGGAGGGGAAGGTCTAGAAAGGTGGGTGAGAGCGAAGGACTGACTTCAGGGCCAGAGAAGCTGGGAGGGCAGGCAGAGCCCAGGCCTACCAAACCCCACACCTCACTACTCCCTGTTCCCTTGGCAGCGCCAGGGCTAAGGAGGGAACGTGGCCCTGGGCTCAAGAATCCACTGGCCCTCTGGCAGTCCCTGTGCCTGCTGGCAAGTGAGGACGGGGTGTGGCTGGACTCTGCGTGAGGGCCCGAGGCTTTGTTCCTGCTCCCCTCCTCGATGATCATGAGACCAGGATGAGCATTCCGCCTTTCGGTGGCAGGAAAGTCTGGTGATTATGTGGCCTGGCCTGTGGACAGGGACAGCAGCCCCTGCTGGGGTGGTCCTGGCGGTCCAGAGCGGGGAGGATGGGCCCCCAGCAGGCCCCAGGCTCTTCCACAGCCGTTGTCACTACAGGGCCAACAAATGGGACCCTCAGCTTGGCCCCAGGATCTCTGCCCTGAGACTCAATGCTGCTGTCAGGGACAGATTCTCTGGGTGACTGTGGCCCAGTCTTGTGGACCAAACTGATAAACTGACTGGCATAGGAAGTTCTGCGTGGCAGAACTAGGCCATGGGAAAGGCAACAGGAGACAAGAGAGTTCTCTTAAATGCAGAGATCCCATTGTCCTGTCCTTGAGGCCTGAGTGAAGTGCATTTACTCCTAGATAAAGTTAGGACCTGATTTTCTCTGGGGATGCCTAAGACAGCTTATTCCCCCCAGACCCCATGCCTTGCTCCACGCACCCTCCTGCCCACCTGGGGATGCCTGAGGCTGCTCTGAGGCAGGTCAGACGAGGGTGGGGGGGGGGCTGTGTGGGGACCAACACCGCCCATTCATGGAAATATATAGTGCTTCTAGGTGAGGGCAGGTCACGTTCCGCTGAGGACAGGTCAGAGGAAGAGGACGTTTTACCACCTGGAGCTAAGGGTAGTTGGTGTGAGAAAGCCCCCAAGGATGGCTGTGGAGATGTGCTGAGGAACAGCTTCCCTCCCTGAGGTAAAGGAGTACATATCCCCTGGATGTGAGGTCAGGGGGCACACTCGGCGGCTGCCCTAGGCAGGCTCCTAAAGGGCTGGTACACTCCAGTTCTTTCCAGTCTGGTTTGGAAGGAGGGTGGACATCTGGGGACTGTCATCTTGGGATTCTTGGATCAGTGGGGGCAAGGGAGGTACCAGCAGGGACCTACTCAACTTCTGGCTACAGCAGCAGGGTTGTCCTCTGGTGTTGGAGTGTGGAGGCGAGGTCTGGAGAGGTACATACAGGGCAGGCACCACAGTCCAGAGCCAGGGATCCAGTGCACAGGGCTACGCTAGCCTCCGGGCTGAGGCAGGCAGACATGGTGTACCCTCCGGGCCTCCCAAGCCTGCTCCTCCTCCTGTGTTCCCCACCCCAGCGTGTCTCCAGCTTTGCCCAGTGCCCGGGATGGGCTGCATAACCTGCAGGGCCCAGCGCACAATGAAAATGCCGGGGCTCTTGTCCGAAAGTTACCAAGAATTTCTTGACAGCAACAGCAGAGTGCTGAAGTGAGGGGAGGTCCCGTGGACTCCCCATGCCGACCCGCGCGAAGCGGTGGATGGTGCCCCAGATGTCAGCTCACACCACTGAACAGACACGTCTCTCCAGACGTGGCCCCCATCTCTGCTGCCCCCATCTCTCCAGAGACCCCTGTGTTGTCCCCACCTCTGCTCAAGCCCCTGCCTTGCACTACCAGAGCTCTTCCTCAGGTCAGTCACGGCGTGGACAGGCCCGGCCGAAACCCCTGGAGCGTCCCCTGCCCTGGGGATAAGGCCCAGAGCCCCCCCTGTGCCCCGGCTCCTGCGGCCCCTCACACTCAGCAGTCACCCAGCTCCTGGGGGCCCCACTCCCTGCGTTCCTCCCCGGCCCTGCCCTGGCCTACTGGGCTGCTCCTGCATACCTCGGCTGGCCATCCTGCCCGGGGCACCTCCACTCACGCCCCGCCCCCGGACAGGCAGCGCAGGGGCTTCCCCACCCGGAGGGTGTGAGCCGTCTCGCGGGGTGTCGGTGCTGCGTATCCTGTGCTCGCACTGCAGGATCCCACAGGCCAGCCCCACACGCCGCGGCTGCGCTGGGGCTCTTCCGGACAGGGAGGCTCAGGGCGGCCCAGGGCGCGAGCCTGCGCTGCCCTGTTAGAGACACGTGGGCAACGAACACCCAAGGGACTGTTGAGACGGAAACAGGGCCTGTGAAGCCAGGGCCGCGGGTCGAGCAAGCGCCACTGACCACGTGGGGAACAGACCCGCCACAGTAGAAGCCCCCCCGTCCATGCGCCGCCTCCGCCCAGCGCTGTCTCCTCAGCGCCCTAACTCCCGGGGAGCCACTTCCGGTCTCGGATTCGCTCCAGCATCCCGAGGTGGACATGTGACTGTCTGGACCAATCCAGATGCCCTCCCTGGCGATTGGTTCACAGAAGGCCACGTGATACCATCCAGGCAGGAAGTTCCCGGGAGGATCGTCCCCCCCACGCTCCGCTCCGTCCTCAGCCGCCCGTCACACCCGGTCCTTCTGCACCCCTCTGCGCCCCATCCCTTCACGGCGTTGGGCACCCTACCTCTCACACCCCGCCCCTTCACACCTCGCCCCTTCTCGCCCCTCCACACCCGCCCCTCCACACCCGCCTTCACACCTCGGCCCTCCTCACCCTCCCCTCCACACCCGCCTTCATGCCTCGGCCCTCCTCATCCTTCCCTCCACACCCGCCTTCACATCTTGCCCCTCCTCACCCGCCCCTCCACACCCGCCTTCAC